CAGAGGTGCAAGGAGAGACGCAAGAACAACGCGAAGGGTCTCTTATACACATCTATATGTGTATAAGAGCTCTCTCTCTCTCTCTCTCTCTCTCTCTCTCTCTCTCTCTCTTTTCCTCCCCCCCCGTTGGCTACTCCCTCTCCTTGTGTACTACTAGTAAACGCATATGAATGAGCTACATTGCCTGCAATACAGGTAAAGTTGCTATGACTTTGGATCTACTCATCTGGGTGGAATAGGGGAAGTTGTGGTGATATTTTATATCACGCACGCACGCACGCACACACACACACACACACACACACACACACACACACACACACACACACACACACACACACACACACACCATCGCCATCACCACCATCGCTGTCAGCATCAGCATCAGCATCGCTACCACCATCACCAGGACCATCACCATCATCACCATCACCAGTGATATTGGAAAAAGGGAGAAGAAAAACTGTAGGCAGCATCAAAACACCACCAGCATCACAAGTGATGGATTCTGTTCTTGCTTTTCTTGGTAGAATAGTACAGAACATGTTGCCAGGACACTGCCAGAAACAATTCCAAGTACTTAAATAAGTTTTTACATAAGTACCTGCGTTTTTGATTAGATATTTCAGTCTGCTTGCGTGCAAGCAGAGACTTGAAAGTGTATATGAGCTCCAAATAGCTGGTTGGCGTGACATAATAATGTCTGCGCAGCACTGTCAAAAATCGGGTTGCGAAGTCCTGCAAAGTACAAGAGAGGAATATTTGAGGAATGGTTATGATTTCTATTAAACCGCTAGTACCTTTGTCGTCCAGTTTCAACAAGTTTTGGTCTACCTCCGAACTTTCAGGAGGTCGGGCCTGACAACGACTGCCGTTGATAAATCTGATCGGCGACCGTTGATTCGTTTCGGCCTCCTGAAAGGTTGGAGGCCCACTATTCTCGAACCGACAAAGGTACTAGTGGTTTAACGGAAACGGAAACTAAAAAGGAAAAACGGAAACGGAAACAGAAACGGAAACGGAATCAGAAACGGAAACGGAAACAGAAACGGAAACGGAAACAGAAACGGAAACGGAAACGGAAACGGAAACGGAAACGGAAACGGAAACGGAAACGGAAATGGAAATGGAAGTGGAAATGGAAGTGGAAATGGAAATGGAATGACAGTGGAAACAGGAATGGAACTTAAATGCCAAGCGAGACGACATTCCTTCATGGAAAGGTAGAAGATAATACTCAAGGGCCTTCGGAAACATGTATGGACTCTAAGGAGTAGTAAGCCATGAAACACGGAAAAAAAAAAAAAAAAGTGAATCAGAATTAGAAAGCAAAAAAAAAAAAAAAAAGATAGAAAAGAAAAGGTGAACCAGAATTCGGGTGGGGAAAAAAGTCAAAGGCCATATGAGATAATGCCATAATGGTTTATAAAGAAAGAAGTTTGGGGACATAAAAAAAAAATGAGCTCAATGCTTAAGAATTCACTTTTCCCAGTTTACCGGGTTCTGCCCATTTTGCGGATCTCTCCTCCACCTCCTCCTCTCCTCCTCCTCCTCTTACCCACATTGAATACCAAAGAGTTCGACGGCAAAGGGATCAACAAATAAATGGACATAATAATTTTAAAAAGGACACACACACACAAAAAAAAAAAACCATATCCGAGTGTTTACACTTTAAACCCAGTAACTTCCTCATACTCTGCCCTCTATGCTCTCTCTTCTCTCATCAGCTACCTTCTTCCCCCGAACTTTTTTTTTTTTTTTTTTTTTTTTTTCCTTGCGCAGGGGCCATGCTAATCTTCTCTGTATCGTTCCAATTTTAACGGATGTCCCGAAGGACATTCTTCCCCCGAACTTAACCCGCGATTATCATGATTATACTTGGATTGGATATAACCTATGTACGTTCTTGATGATGGACAACTTTTTGCAGTGGGAATAGAATCAATAGATCGTGGTCTACACATTGCAGCCCATCCTCCACTCTCTCTTCTTCCTTTGTTGGACATCAAGCGCCCCTCCTCCCACGGCCCCTAGAATCCAGTTTGGTGGTCAGTCACACCACCAACCATGATATGGGCAAAAAAGTCAAAGGCAGGATATGTTGAACCTACTGCTACACAAGGGCGTTATCCCTCCTCTAGAAGGCAGTTTCTTTTTTTTTTTAAGCCCTTGTGGGAAGCCTGATAAGTTGTGACAACTATTGTTGCCAAGGTTGAGAAGTGAAGGGGCAGTTGCAATAGCCATGATTGTTTTTCTTGTTTTTCTTGTTTTTCTTGTTTTTTTTGTTGTTGTTTTTTTTAATTTATAACTTTGTGGCCTTTAGTAAGGAGAGTGATACAAGCATCAATAACTATGATTGTCACATCTGCAGAAGGGGAAGTGATGCAAAAAGAAGACACTTTGTTAGAGGGTCCAATTGATATCCATTATCTCTTTGATCCGCTAACAAAGTATCTTTATCTTGCAGGTGTCCTACTAGCATAGGCAGGACTTGCTGTTGAAGCCTGAAGATGGCCAGCATTATAGCCACCAAGGTTCTGGTATGGCTGCTGACAAGCATCCACAAGAGCCAGGAGAAGCTCCCTCATAGTCAGCAGCTCTCCTAGCTCCTCTTATCCTCCTCTCCTATATCAGCATTTGTTGGATTTCTCTGATGAGTCTGATCCTTTCCCCCCCCCACACCCTTTGGGCCTTTGGTGATGGTCCCCAGATCTTGGTTTGGTTTGGTCATGATGAATAAGGATAAACCTCAGGGCTTGGGCTATGGGGGTCTCGGGGGTGCGGAAGATAGCAAGATATGGCGCCCAACGCAGGGTGAACAGGTTCAGGATCAACCTATACGGGCACAAGTTTACCATTCCAATTCCAAGCATCAATACATCAAATTCATCAAAATTGAATGTACAAAGAGGGACGCTGGACCCGTTTTCCAGCAGGTGCAGCTCCCCCCACCGATAGATGGAGCCGCCTGAATGGGCAATAGTAGGGGGGGATGCTCGTATTACCCTCCTCCACATTAGAGCCTACCGAGTCTTTTATTGAAAAAAAAGGGGAAAAAAAAAGAGCACCCCCCAGTAATGCATCACCCTCCCTTAAAAAACATATAGCAGCATACGTATGGAGGAATGATGCTAAGGAAGGAAAAAACATTAATTTAGCAGGGTGGCATGAGATTCATTACCCAACCAACATTGGCATCAGAGGTCTCTGCAACAATCAAAAATTTTGCTGGCTATAAAAGCAAACCAGTCAAGCTAGCTGCCCTTCAATGGAAGATTGCCCCCAGATGTGTCCCAAACAAGAGATTTTGGCTTATCGATCATTCCCACTTGGAACAAAAGAGACTGCTCCTCCCACCCATGGTGCAAGGGGTGGCTTTCAAACTACCCGCAGAGGAAAATAAGTGAGACGCTGGAGCACCCAAGGGCTCTGTTGTTATGGAGACGATCGGATAGAATCTGGAGGTGACTGACTGGAGAACCAAACTGACCATGGATGGGAATGGAAGGCCATTCTCCTAGCCCACTGCCCAGCCTATGGAGGGGGGAATTTACAGCCAACTGGTTCTGGCTGGGGAGAAAGGCACTGCTGTGGGGAATATAGACCTCGAGATGCGCCAATGAATAGGAAGAAGATGCTCAGCAAGGCCAGGAGCTGTGCGAGAATATTCTAAACACCATTCCAAAAAAGAATCTGGGTCTAATGACAATCAACAGTGGACGGCAGAAAGCACTTGAACTACCATCTTCACCCGAATAGAACATCCGGTCATTATCGCTGCATCTGGACCGAAAGTTGTGCCAAATACAGCTATAATGACCGGGCGTTCTATTCGGGTGAAGACGGTAGAGGACAAGCAATAGAAAATCAATGAGTTGTATGAAGACTGACTGAACAGCCCAGACAGAGGTCAGATTGACCGGGAATACTGAAGGGGGACATGTCTGACCCTCAAGGGGTTCATCTGAGCTTTGCTGCGTGGGAAAATAATGCCAAAAATATAGATGATTCATTCCTCATGAAAACCAGCTTCAGACATTATGGATCCCTTTCCTCCATGAGAGAAGAGAAGAGCATTGTAGAATTATCCCGGTCTGGGTTCGGGTTGGGGAATTGAGTATGTTAATCCATGTGGATAGCAGGCGGTTACAAGTACAAGCTGAGGAGGCAGGTTCACAGAAAACAGACAGAGTTAACACTAAGGACAGCCAATCTCCAGGAGGAGAATCATAACTGAGTCAACTGACTGATCATCTTGTATGGAAAACTCATGTCAGTGATGGGATGCCGAACCCAATTTCCAGCAGGTGCTTCTCCCAGCCAAATGGATTGGAGCCATCCTCCCTACAAGGCCTCAGTCTGGGTGGTTCTCTCACCACTACTCTGGTAATGGCCATAGACTGCGATGTTTTTCACTTTTTTTTTGGGGGGGGGGGGGGGGGAAAGGGGGGCGGGGGTGCAATGGCGGCCGCGGCACAAACGAGTTTTGAATAGGCGAAAAAAAAACACTCCGGCAAAACAGCAGCTGACTCAGCCGAGTTAAAAAAGGCGATGAAAGCACCACAGCCATGACAGAGGAGAAAGAAGGAAAAACGTCATCTGTTTGTGTTTGTGAATGTTTGTGTTTGTGAAGGGCGAAACGAATCAGTTAAGCTTGCCTGAACACTTGTGTAGAAGTGTACGCTCATGTCGACCAAGTGTCTGATTACAGGTTGCTCCACTTGTACATCCTCCAGAAACCTCTCTGCAACAGATCTCAATGCCTTCACCACAGGGAAAAGGAAACTAGTTATGAGAATGAAGATGTACTTGGCTTAAATCTTGCCGTGAATAGATCATTGTAAATCAGTAGTCATGCATAGCGCCTCATCACCCTTCTGCCCATTACTGCTAACAAGTCAATAATATGATAACACATATCAACATTTATCTTGAATTACTACGACCTTCTTATTTTATGTTATACTCAAGAAGATATACATCATTTATAATTTCCATTACTAGTCTTTTTAACTGTTTATTTTCTAACTATTTTATCAGATTTATCCAGTATTTGGCAACTATTTGCCCCTCATTGGATACCTTTTTTTTTTTTTTTTTTTTTTTTTTAAACCCTTGTGCAAAGCCACTATCCCAGTCGTGGTAAGAGAACCACCGGAATTGAGGCTTTGCCTAGAGGGCCACTCCATGAGCCTCCATCTATTGGTGGGGAGCCTCACCTGCTGGAAACCGGGTCCAGCGTCCCACAAATACATCTTTGAATTCATCAGTTCATGTGTGCCGTCATTGGAGGTTTTGGAAATCATGGGGACCTGCCAGCAGTGATTGCCCTGAGACTCGGGGGATTGACTGCACAGGGTCTGTATCTTTAGGTGAACAGTAGACGTCGGTAGCCTGAGAGAACCCAAAAACAACAGACAAAGACACAAAATGCCATCTTGGGTCGGGGGGGCACCGGGCCTCATGGCTGTCTCCCTGCCTTCCGGCTGTCAGCTGTTGCCGATGACTGCACTGTCTGAACTCATGTTTGGAAAAAACTTAGACTCGCCTGAACAAAGTTGCTGAGGTGCGAAAGAGAAAGGGACTCCAATGGCACTTCAGTCTTCCCACGGGCATTCTTCCAGGGATAGTGGATGGGAGGGGAAGGGGTCGTTGAACTCATGGACCGGTCGTAACGGTTCCCTCGGATCCACCTTTGTCCATTCATGGAAATGCACTGAGTAGTCCCTTTCCAAATCCGAGTGCATCGTCTGATGATCTTGTCGTGAAGCCCGTTGGTGGTCATGCTTGTCTCCTGCCCAGCTCACTTTTGCTATCCAACCTTCTCGTTTCCCTCCCAGACAGTCTTCCCAGAAGCGGGAGACAATTTTGTCAATATCCATCCCTGCTATTCCAACTGCGTGTGGTTAATTAGCCAGTTGTTAGTCGGCAGACTCCGATGGGCAATTTGCCATTGCATGGGCCTCTTTCCATATTCTCTGAACCACTGGACGGGCTTGACCAGACCCCTGTCTATATTGAGATGGCATTGCCATCTATCCTCTACCACATCTCTCAGCCTGCGCCTTGGTCTAAGCATTCGGTATACTGTCTTAGTTTTTAGGGTGGCTAGTGCCAACGGTTTCACCTTCCCCCCTTTTTTCAAAATTTTCTGGTCTTTCCATGACCATTGCCACTCATCAGGGTCAACGGGGAGATCCTCAATCGGGGTCATTGGTAAAAAAACCCTCCATCCCTTCTCCTCCTCTATCACTCTGATCTGATAGACTTCCCTCCTCCCTTTCCAGATAAAAGGCTTACGGCTCCCTTGTAGGTGGTCCTTTCCCGTGACGTCGAAGCATTCGATCAACACTTGGTCTTGGTATACCATATGCAGTCCACTGACTTGCGCTCCCTGACCCGGTACTCTCACCTAGTCCCCTTCTTCTAAGCAGGGGCCCTTTCTAAGGGTTGTGTACCATTGAAGGGGGAAGCTTTCAATAAGTTCATCCATTGCTGACTCTGTTAGGTGGCAATATCGCAGGCAACCTCGCATTCTTTCTGCGCTCTTCCATTCTTCGGCTGCCATATCCCAGAGGTCTCCCACTCTTCGGACCTCGTGCTTCACCCAACCCCTCCATGGGGGATCTAAACTGCACCTCACCCGGCTGAGGGAGTCTGTAATTAATCTATTACCAAATAGGGGTTGCCTAAAGACTTCCTCCCACCTTTGTGGGGGCGGGCAATCAGGGATTGGGAATTTTTTCCATGTTCGAAGGAGATGTATCCAATGTTCGTCCACCGGGTCTCCATTCCTGTATTTTATTGTTGGTCTCCAAAACGTGTCCTCGAGCCATACCAAAGGGTCTATCTCTGGTGGAGCCCCGGGGGCCAGGGCCGCGATCTGTGCTAAGGCAAGGGGGACCCATGGGGAGGTCGGTGCGAAGATGAGATGTTGGAACCAGCGAAGGCTGAGGTCTTGAAACTGCGTGGAGGCGTCCACGATTCCAAGTCCTCCTCCGACCTTAGGCTGGATCACTGATTCCCATGCTACACAACTAATGGTGCAGGAGTTGTCATTGTCTCCTCTCCAAAGGAAGGCCGCCAACTGCCGCTTTAGTGCCTTGAGCCCCCCACCGCTCATGGGCCATATAATGACTTTATACCAGAGGGTGGCGATTGCCACATTGTTGATGACAAGGGTCCGCCCGAAAACTGATGTGTGTTTATTGTTCCAGTTCGCTAGTTTGGTCTGTGCTGATCTCCCCAGCCACTCATCGTTAGTATCAGGCTTTCCCTTTGTTGTACCCAACGCCCCTAGGATTCTAAGAGGGTCATCTGGAGGGATCCTGCAAAAACGGTTCATGAGGGCCCGAATTTCGTCCATGTTTTGTGCCTCTGCCTCCACCATAATGGTGAAGTCATCCGCAAACAGGGAGTAGGTTGGCACTGCTTCCTCCGGAATGTCGGCAATCCTGATACGGGTAAAATCCTTATTGTGCCTCAGGTTGGCGGATAGTGCCTCCATTATGATCAAAAGAAGGTAGGGGGTAATGGGGTCTCCTTGTCTGACCGATCGTTGGAGCTCAAAGGGAGGTGTCACCGATCCATTAACCTGTATACAAGTAGTAGCATTTTTATGTAGGATTCTCACCCATCACCTAAAGGCCGGTCCAAAATCCATTTTGTCCAAACATCTGTCTAAAAAGTCCCAATCAACATGGTCATAGGCCTTTTCAAAGTCAATGAAAATAATAGCAGCATTTGCCCGGTTCCTACGTGCCAGACAGACCACTTCATTAACTAACAGGATGTTCCCTTGTATGTTCCTAATGGCCATGAACCCTGTCTGGGTTGGGTGTATAATGTCCTCGAGGACATCAGCCATGCGATTCGCCAAGGCTTAGAGAGTATTTTGTAGACCACCATGAGTAGAGTAATTGGTCTATAGTTCCTCATGTTCATCTTATCTCCTTTTTTGTAAAACAATGATAGCACCCCTTTTCCCACCACTTCCCCCATCTCACCATCCTCCCATACCTTCAGGTAGAACTCCCACAGGTCCGAGCTAAGGTCTGACCACATAGTTTCCCAAAATTATTTGGGAAATCCGTCAATTCTGGGAGTTTTCTCCTCCTTCATCTGTAGAAGCTCCGTCCATGTTTTTTCTTTTGTCAGGGGTCTCTCCAAACGATCCCGCTGTTGTGGAGATAGATGTCTATCCATGGGGGATAGGAATTCCTCCATGTTTTTTGTCCATTCCCCCCCCCGTGGGACAGAGAAGTGGGTTGTACATAGTTGTTTGAAGAATGTCCTTGTGATTAGTGTGCAATGTGCGGTGTCAGTCGCTATGACTTCATCCCTGCTTCCAGGGTCAAAGAGAGTTTCGATTACGGTCCGCCTTGAACGGGTCGTCGCCATATTGAAGAAATGAGTATCCATGGTGGCCTCCTAGTAAATTTGGTCATTTTCCCCCTTATCCTAATGCCTTGTCATCTATGCTGGGCGTATTGAAGAAGTTGGTCCTTCACTCTGTGAATACGTGTAGTGAGATTCTGTGATTCTTCCTACTGTTCCAGGTCCAACAATTCCTTATGAACGGTTATTTCCTGTTGCTGCCTCAGGGCTGCCGTGGCTTTGGAGAAAACCTTGCATTTTCAGGCCAGGTAAATTAGACCATTGTTGAACCAAAGTGTTTCTTTTGTTGGCGCTAAAACTGCCACTCATGTTGGATCATTTGTCGAAAGTGGTGGTCTGTTAGAAGAGAGGTATTAAGCTTATAGAAGTCGGGCCCTTGGTCGGGCCTTTTTCTCATTGTTAGAATTATCTCGCACATTTTATGGTCGAGGCCCGGGTGTGGGCTGCGTGGAAGGATAGTCGCCCATCGCAGGGCGCCTTGTAGATCATTTGAGAGGAAAATGAAATCTATTCGTGATTTGGACAACCTAGACGGGTCGCTATCCCTTATACAAGTAAAAGTCCTGTCATTGGGGTGCAGGCGACGAAAAGTGTCATTTGTTCGTCTTCCCCTGCTGCAAACCGGGGAGACCCCTGGGGGTTCCATCTGTCCCTCCCCCTCTCGGGGGCGACATTAAAATCCCCCGCAATGACCAGCGGAATGTCGTCAGGTACTCGCGTTCCTATGTCCCCTAGAAAGACTTTTCTTTCTCCCACCGCTTTGGGAGAATAGATGCACAGGATACATAGCAATTCCAGCTCCAGCATCCCCAACACTGATACCCGCCGTCCTTCTTCCTCATCTGCCACCCAATGGACCATCTGGAACCTGGAGTCGGGAGGGATCCAGATGGCAACCCCAGCAGATCCCAGCCTGGGGGCATGGGCCCTCACTGCCGAGTGGGGCCAGACCATCTTATGTGCCCTGTTGTGTTCCGACTTGTCCTGTAGGTGAGTCTCTTGAATGCATATCACGTCTGGCCATCGCTTCCCCCCCACGCCTCTGATCTGGTCCCAAATGGCCTGACATTTTTCTGGACCACAGGTTGCCAGGCCATTTACGTTGATGGAACGCAGGTCCAGGTCTGCCGACCTCACGCATTGTTGCCAGGCAGGGTTTCTACAGTAGAGTGTTTCTAAGTCGGTCATTTTTTAGAAAAATGGAAATCACAAGGGGTGCCACTGTTTGACATCCCATCTGTCCAAGTTCAGGATCTTCTTTTGCAAGGTTCTGCACAGACATTTGCACATGTCGTCCTCGGACCAGAATTCACTAGTTTTTACCTTTGCACACTATAAGTCAAGCAGTGCGTTGGGGTTGTACCATCGCAGGTCAGCGGTTTTATTAGATTCAAACAACAGGTAGAGGTCATTCCTTGCCATC